TTTACTCAAAGTCAATTTCGTGTGATAATAGCAATGCTGGACATGGATTCGAGTTATAAGAGGATCTTCAGCTGTCAAGAAATGTACCAACTAACTAAATAACATATAACTTTGCTTTACAACTTTTCACTGATCGCCTCAGATTATCTAACATTATGAAATAATACAGATGATGTTGAGTTATATACCTTAATGGTTACACTGAAACATGATAGCCATGTCTGGGCTGAAAAAATTTTGAATTTGTGTCATATCTACAATGTTGTTCTTGATATACCGCGCATAACGTCAGCACTAGAACGCCAGAATCCTTCCAAGTCGCAATGAGAAGACAGAAGACTAATGAAAGGAATATTATTCTCAGACAGTGTCAATTATAGTACAAAATTGTCAAGTATTTATAGTTTTTAGTAAGAACAAAATCATCATCACACTCCACCAATCAGTATACAGGAGGTTATTAGCATTGTCCAATCGGGAAGCTACACGTAGGAATTCTAGAACATTCTTCCCAAAGGTGATTGGATGGAATATCTTCGGCTCCTTCTGAGCTTCCTACAGATTCATCGAGTTCACCTGGACTCCACTATCATTCATCATCTCTGATTGTGACTTAAGGCAGATTTGAAGAAATCCTCACAGGATGCACATAGGCCAATAAGAAACTGATCAACTACAGATTCAAACAACCAATACAGCAATCAACAACATAAGGCTTTAAAATGATCGCACCTATGCGTATACTACTTAATAGTAATAATAAGTAGGTTAACACTTTAAATGAAAAATCTTAAACCTGTTTAAATGAAATTTACGCAATAAATAAAACAAAAAAAATACTGCGATACATTTTAATATTCATTGGAAAATTCTTTTCTAACATTAGAGGATTTTTAAGGTATAAGTGAAGTTACACCAATGTACACTATCAAATGAAATGAGCTTATGAGATGGTGAAGAAGATTTGTAGCTCAGGTAGATGATTTTGATGGAGGTTTGGTTGATGAATGTTGAAATCTCATGAGTCAGTAGAAGCTAGACCACAATAGAACACCTCGGAGTACTGAACAGCCGTTTTGTCCTAGAATCAGACTCTTCAGCAGTGAGCACCAACGATCCTGCCTCGAGAGATTCGAATCCAGGATATATCAGTATCGCGCGCGAACACTTAACCACTAGACCACTGAGCTGACTGGCATCTAACGGTGTTAATGTTCATTTTCAACTAATCCACGATATTGAGCGACACATCCACCATTGTCTTTAGTGAGTTACTATTTCACAACAGACCCGGTTAAACTCCACTGGTCACTCCTTGACTCATGATCTCAACTATTAAAATTACTATAATATCCAGAAAAGTCATTTCGTGACATGAATTTACTTCACCTGTGTTACTATTGCATCACATGTACGATGAACATTAAACATTGTTTCTCAGTCATGTTTCATAGTTTGTTAATTCGAAACTCGAATTCATTGCTTTTTTACGTTATTGATGTTAAACAGAGTAGGGAGTTATGAGTTATGTACGTTGTTACGTACTACGATCTCTCTTCCCATCTAACATACAGGAGAGAATTTTTCTCGATCTAGTTTATAGCCTTAACACAATAGGCTATGTAGTTTAACCTTGAGGCTCCCAAATGCCCTGGTACGGTCGAGAGTGGGGAGAGTCCGCTCTCCCTCTACAAATGCTCTCAAGTGGCCACGTGCATACAACCACTACCAGGGAAGTCCTACTCACTGGCTTCTCGCATCCCGGGTGTTATTTACAAAATTGAGGGGACGAAAAGCAAATGTCCGGCAGGGGCTTAAACCGGGTTGGTGGACACAGAGAGTCTATTTAAGGAAGTTGGAAAACCCTGATTCAAAACAGATGGTGCACACGGACTCTAGGATCCTGAAAGAACAAATGGCGTATGAACCAATTATTGGTCACAGGCTACCATGGGACCGCATTTCCTGATGTTGATCTACTGCCTTGTGGAACAAACCCTTAGGTCAAAGGCCATGGGTGTGGCCCCCTGAGAAAACCACTTGCTTCAGTTCGGGCACCCGAGCAGTATCCTATTCCTCACACAAATCAAATGATTTATGTAGCGCATATCTATTTGGTGCCTCCTTGTATTAATGTTTAAATGTTTAAATAAATAAATAAAACTCATGTACTTGTTTAAACAATACACTTTCTTCCAAAGTATCATCTAAAAATGTAGCCTAATTGTGAACAATATATAATTCGAAGTCTAGTGTTTGTTTTTTCTGTATTTGACGCTGTAGATTGCATAATAGTATTGTTGCATAGACAAATCTTGTGTTTTAATTTCAAGATTTCTGTTGGAATGTGAGATATCTTTTTATAATATTGATAAGCATACTTTCTTCCTACACTTGAACACTACTGGTTACTTAAATGATAAAGGGGGAAATGTGGGAAGGAAACTTTCATTAGTTAAAGAAATTGAAATGCATCTATATGCTCATGTTATATATATATATATATATATATATATATATATATATATATATATATATATATATATATATATATATATATATATATATATATATATATATATATATATATATATATATATATATAGCTAATTCAGTGAAGAAAATGCTCTCTTCTGTAGTATTGTAGGGTATGCTACTTAAGTTGACAGATATAAGTAGTATGTAACATCAATCTGTAGTGGGATGCCTTGCAGTAGAAGATTGAGAAGATCGAATTAAAGAGTATAGGAATGAAAGAACGATAAAGTATATAAGAGACAGCTGATGGAAGATGTGCAATTGATGTATTTAATGTATGGCTTTCATATTTTACGTAGACACACTGTAATTTTGTGATAAACAATAAATTGGTCTTTACTGCCCAAGTCTTCGATTACAACAGTATTATTTACAATTGTATAGAACTAGAAGTAATCGGTACATCAGTATAAGAGTATCTCATCAACTCCGAAAAGGTTGTTTCACAATAATCGTTCTTCAAAATAATCTAAATGATTGAAGGGAGGTTACATCAAAGACTAGTACACTCTTTAGATGTCATCAATTCACCAATTCGAGCCTGAACTCTGTATGTTAAAGCAACGTATATAATCTATAATCCTTCTTTGTTCCTACCACCCTTTTCAACTTGTCTTTTATTCTATGCTTTCATTTTGCAATCAATTATCCTTTATTTCTCAAATGTTATTATGATGTTTACACTCTTATCATCTTTTTATTTATGTCAAGTGAACAATTATCGCTTCTTTTTCTAATCTGCAAATCATTTTCATTCTCATTTGACTTCTCAATCATTAAACAAGCTTATTTTAATGCTTGACATGTCCAAACACTTCTCCGGTAGTGGTTGTATCCACGTGGCCATATGTGAGCATTTGGAGAGGAAGAGTGAACTCTCTCCACCCTCGGCTGTACCAGGGCACTTGGAGGCAATTAGTCCAATATATCAATTTCGCTTATTATTTGGTTGTTAGATTAAGACTATTTAAAAGATTCTATGCTAACACTTCAACACTATTCTTTAATGCATATTCGTACCCACTAATAAGAAACAGATTTCCAAAGTTTAATTCACAGATCAATCTAAGCTAGACTGTAGTAAACGAGAACATAAATGAGGACAATCTAAATGTATTTAAGTATAAAATTACAGAATCTGAAAATCATACAGTAAATACTTCATTTAAAAAATATTCATCACTAATCACTCTGTATTCTCGTTCTCTTCCCTTCTATCTCCTCAATCTTCTGCCGTTAGGTATTTTACTTACGATTAGTGATACTACTTATACCTGTCAACATCAGTAGCATACATCATAAAATCACCATTGAAAACCCGGAAGCATTGGACGGTCCTATATTATGAAGAAATAGTCGTTCAATACTTCCAGGTTTTCAATGGTGTTCTAGCTTAGATCGACTTATGAATTCAACAACTTTGAAAATATTATAATCTTCACAAATTCTTATACTGATAAGTAAGAAATTGAATTCATTTAACTAACTCAGCTGAGATGTCATTAAGTCAGAAAACTGTTTTCACTAATCGAGAATATTTATATCTGGATAATTTATGATTCTATCATGAATGACATATAGTTACTTGAAGTTAAACTTATATTCAAACTGATAAGACAACAATAACGACAGTCTATCACATATGGATATAGAGTACCGATCAGAAGTAGCAAAATGTCAATCGATGGTAGTCAGAGGTGACCCAAATGTTAAATGTATTTCATTGAGATCAGTGAATCGATTTCCTAAGAAAATAATGGTATCCATATACGTGAATGAGTATTTGTGTATTTCGTTCGGTAATCACATTTGATTGATCACTCGGTGGTGATCAATGTCATGCTTGTCTAGTCCTTATTAGTGCAGATCGAATGCTATCGATCATGTTGCAATGTGGCCACCAGTCTAGGTGACTCGACACTCCGGGCACTATGTATTGAGATTTTAGATGGTAAGTCAACAGGAAACCCTGGACCCGGGTTTTGTGCTACTTGGCACTCGTCAGCAAGGTGTACCTGTAATCTTGAGGGAACTGGTGCTCCCTGGCGGATTCGATCTCGTGTTAACTACCTCCAACCACCATCTAAAATTTCGTTCGGTAGTCTAATACAATTTCTCACTCAATCCTGTGTTCTTGCTAAAGTAGGCAGTTGGAGGGTGGGGGAAGAGGTTAGCTCGTGGCATACTGTGTACCGCTATCAGATTTCAGACACCACATACCACAACAATTCTGTGCAAATATTGTTTTAATGAATGCATAAACGTCAGTTATCTGGTTTCTAATCATTTATCCCATCAAATTTGTTTCAAACATGTTTTAAAGACATCTTATTAAAGAGCTAATATGTACTGTAACATTAATAAATTATTTGTGTATTTTTTCTCCTACTTATAACAACAAGAATGAAAGATTACAAGATATAAGTAAGTGAATTATAGTGATTGAACAATGAAGTGTGTGATCATGATGAAGTCGATGGTGATGATGATGACGATGAGGAAGGTGGAGACGAAAATGACGATGCTGACGACAATGATGATGATGATGACGATGACGATGTTTTAAGTAGTAAATTTTCATATATAATCACACCTAAAATAATAATGACTATCTCTATAGGTATTAAACATCCTAGAAACCATATTGAATAATAATTTAATGTAAATGTTTTCCTTTGAATTGATTTATCATTAGATTTATTCAATGATATTGTGATACATTTCTTTGATGGACATTTTTGAATTTCTTGATTGGATCCAATACAACCAACATCTCCATGACATAAACGTAAACGTGAACGATAACGTTTTATACCACAATTTGGTAGACAATCACTCCATGAATTCCATTCTTAGAAATGAAATGATTAAAAACCATTTTAATGATACAATTCACAATATGATTAAGTAAATACCATTACACATACAATAGAGTCTTACCCTAACCGGTAAAATGAATTGAAATCAATAAAAGTTGTCTAACCTTGACTTAAATAGTAGTCGAAGAAAAGTCACCGGCGATTATATCACGTTGAAAGCATCGGTTCTCGTCCAAAGAAAAGTCATCAAATAAAGTGTTGTAAAAACTTGATAAGCCCTTCTTATAGAATAGATAGACTCTAACTACTAGTGGATATTGGGGATGTATGCTATGTTCTATCTAAGATTTTGTTTACCTGGATAAACATGTATCCTAGTGTGGATTATCACAGTGATAGAGAATGAAGCGTTTGTTGGTTTGAATACTTTGATAACTTGTATATGACAAACTAAGTTATCGTGAATTATCTTATTAAGTATACAGTAGCATCATATGATGATATCGGAAACTTTCAGGAAATCAACTAGATTGAAGATAACTCTGTGCAAAATTGAAAAAACGCGGTGGACTGGACATACGGTAAAAATACTTACATCTAGGTCTTAATCCGTTGATTACAAATTGAGAGTATTTGGTATGATTTGATACGTAAAAGAACGATGTTTTGAACCTCAGCTGTTTTATTTAATTCTTGTAACTTTAACTACTAAGATAATATTACGATTATAACAAAAGTCAGTTAGGCTCGTTCACCACAGATACGTCGTGCCAACTAGATATACTTTGGTATAATAGTGACACGCTTAGCATGGATAGCGAATAAGTTGGTATGTGCAAATAATCCAACCAAGTAAGCTTTACTAGCTTCCCGAAGAGCATACATAGTTGAGCTCTGGAATCGTAGATCGGTCTTGAAGTCTTGGGCGATTTCTCGAACCAAACGCTGGAATGGAAGTTTATGAATCAGAAGTTCGGTACTCTTCTGGTAACGACGAATTTCTCGGAGGGCGACGGTCCCAGGTCTGTACCTATGTGGCTTCTTCACACCTCCGGTAGCTGAAGCATTTTTGCGCGCAGCCTTGGTGGCCAGCTACTTTCGAGGTGCTTTACTTCCGGTTGATTTGCGAGCGGTCAGTTCTTTATGAAAACACTAACCCTAGTAACAAGCTCTAACATTTATAACCTTAACTTATAACATTATCCGGACTCTTGACTAATAATCTTAACCATTTTTCGCGCATTGATCATGTCGAAACTGTTAATCTAGCTATAAATTACTATCTATTTGTCTAATAAATCACTCAAGATTGCTGTTATAATGTAAAACCGAAGAACATATTATCTCGTCATACAATTGTTGGGGTGATCCAGAAAACTTTTCGCAAAAGACAAGAAAGGCTCAGGAAACACTAAGAAGCATTTTAGCTAATCAGCATTCACTAAAATTTTAGCCAGAAACATCAAGAAAAGTCACATGTAAAGTTTTCGATTGGATGATTACTATACTGCAACTATGTTTAGTAGCATTCCGGAATCTTCGGGAAACCCAAGGACATCTAAAATACTATAAAATCCCTATATTTTCTGTACCAGAACAAACCTTTGGAGTGAAGTGTTTCTCGCATATTTTTCGTATTTTCTCTCGTGTTCGGGTTACTGTGTAGTTCTGGCTTGAGGGTTACGAGAATAGCTTAGGAACCGAATATAGCGTTCAATTATCAAGACTTAACAACAGTGAAGTCAACAAACTTCAGAGTTAGTACCACAAGAAATGATTCGAATCTTGTAAATCTCCATCTTTTGTTTTGTTCTAGTTAGTACAAATAAGATAAAACTATTAAATTCTATCATATCAGAATGATGTACAATGGATGCGCACTTCTGAAGAGTCCCATACTAGAGACGAAACGGCCATTCAATGCTTCTAGGTTTTCAGTAGTGGTTTAACATTGATCCAATTATGATCTCAATCGATCCCTAAAATCTTAAATTCCTTTAGTTAAGATTATTTAGAAATAAACAAGAGAATCAAATGATTAGAAGTTGCATACGAATCCTGTATGTTGTTGAACTGTAGATACCAACGAATATTTAACATACTTACTTATCTACTTACATACTCACTTACTTACTTGCTTATTTACTTGCCTACCTACTTACTTGCCTACTTAATTACATACTTATGCCTGTTACTCTCAATCGAGCATAGGCCAACGACCACCATTCTCCAACCCACTCTGTCCTGGGCCTCCCTTTCTAGTTCTATTCAATTGTTGTTCATTCTTCTTATGTATGTCTCCATTTCCCGGCATAATGTGTTCTTTGGTCTTCCTCTTTTCATTTGACCTTGAGGATTCCAAGTGACAACTTTCTTGTGACACAGTAGGGTGCTTTCCTCAATGTGTGTCCTATCCATTTCTAGAGCTTCTTCCTGATTCCCTCCTCCGCTGGAATCTGGTTTGTTCTCTCCCACAACAGGTTGTTGCTGATAGTATTTGGACAACGGATTCGAAATATTTTGCGAAGACCACTGTTAATAAGCACTTGTACCTTCTGAATGATGACTTTCGTAGTTCTCCAGGTTTCCACCCCATACAGTAGAAGTGTCTTGACATTTGAATCGAAACTTGTGACTTCGGTGTTGGTTGATAGTTGTTTTGAGTTCCAGACGTTCTTCAATTGTAGAACTCCACCTGCCCCCCTAGAGCTACTGCCGTTCCCAAGCCCGAATAAAGAAGGAGGGTTGCGCATTAGGTTAGCGATTTCATCCCGCAAAAAACTAACTTACTAAAAAAACGCTAACCAGAAAAAATAATTCAAACCAATATTTAATATACTTTGATCATATATGGGATTTCTTCTTCAATGGGATAATAGCTGACATGTTTTATTAATAATAGAAATTCGTATGACAGAAGTAGAATGCGCCATATGCTTAGAGTGAAAAGGTCGATCATTTTATGATAATCACAGCACATTTTATCAATTTGAGCTTGGAATTGTTTTTGTTATGTCAATTATCAACAATGTGAAACTGTTTGATATCAATCATACAACTCTTTATTTGATATAATGAGATGGTAAGACCTTTAAAACTAAGTTTTTCAGTCACTTAAACTCGGGTATGTTATGCGTACTAGTCATCTTGACCGTTACGCCAAGGCAACATCTATCTACCACAATTGAATATGGATAATATTACTGTTTATCAATTCTGTAAATCCAAAAGGTAGCTTTTCTGTTATTTGTACTCATATAAGTACTTCACAGTTTAAAATACGAGCTGATCTTAGCTAGAAAACAATTTGAAATCTGGACGGCCGTTTCATTCTAGTTTGAAAGTTATCAACAGTGTATATCCATGATTCCGCATCAGGATGTAACTTTTAGAGTTCTAGTAAGAATCCGTTACTATTGGAGTTCAATTCGTGTTAGACATGAAACAGTTATTCACTATAAGCAACAGATGAGGATTGCGCAATATTATGAACTGACTGAAGTAAAACATTGACACCGTTAGATGATGACGCAGTGGTCGTGAGGTTGAGCGTTCTCATACGAGATGAAAGGTTATGGATTTGATCCTTTCATAAGGAGTCATAGATGCACACTACTGATAAGTCTCATACTAAGATGGGACAGCCGTTCTCATTGGTGATCTAGCTAAGATCAGTTTGTGATTTAAACTGAAAATCCAACAATCTTAAAAAATCCCATAGACTAGCAATTGTATGTCAAGAGGATAAAAATAGGGAATATAAACGAATCAAAATGAATAAGGACTTGTTTTTTTTTTATTGATTACTTACCACTCCATATACCTTCTTTTAATTCACAATAGAAACCAGTATAACCTGGTTGACATTGACATATTGGCACTTGATTATATATATGATTAGTATCATTAGTGGTAGTAATCTCATTGTTATATTGATCAATATAAGTTACAAGTCCTTTAGTTACATAAATACATTGTCCACCATTTAAACAGATATTTTGACCACATTTATAAACAGTTTCATTGTTGTTTACTTGTTCAATTTGTTTCCAACAATTATCCATATCACTGTAATTTACATCTTTTTCATAACCAATATTACATTGACAATAATATTGTAAGCCTAATAATCAATACAAAAACAAGTATAGTATAGTAGATAATAATGAATCTTCATATTGATGATTAGGACTGTAATTGATCAGTCTCTTATTGGCATACGTGCATTCTGTGCGGATTGCTTTGATATTGCTTTTATCCACAAACATGATAAGCAAAGATGGATGGTGGCTAGTAGTGAAATCCAGTTTAACGAGCGTTTCATCCTATTTGGGATTCGTCAACTAAACGTGCTAGCATTCCAAAGTTGATATTCACTCCGGACTCGAACCCAGTATCGTTCGCTTTGAACGTCATCGCGTTATTCGCTCAACTACTTAGTCCTGATAACTACCTGCTTGTCCAATGGGGTGAAGCTTAAATTCAATTGCTGTTGTTTGCTTGAATCTTCCATTGATGTTTAAGTTTACAATTGATCAGTCTCATATTGGCATATATTCATCCTGTGAGGATTGCCTCAATAAAGCCTTAAGTGGCCCAGGATATATCTGACTCTAATTCGATTATGTGATTACCGTTATCGACTATGACAAATCATCAGCCCTCGTATATAATTATCGAATTAAATCGAGTTAGTGAATAACAGAATTAAATAAGTCAAATACCGAAATGAAGTGTTGAATGCGAATATTTCATACAATCGTTGATCTGAGCAGAGAATCGGGGTGATGGAACAGAGGAAGCGAAAAGAAGAGAGCAAAGAGGAATGGATTAGCGAAGGTATTTAACAAGATCTACAGATATAAATTAATGAACACCAGCGAGACTATAATTTATGAACGAACTAATCAGGTGTATAAGATAACAAGTCTCGGATTTTGACGTGAAATTCAGTTATCCATTTGGCTAAATAATGTTTCGGCATTTTAGCTGATGTCAATTCGTGATGAAAACCATAAATCTAATTCCTAATCTTAACCATCAATTGTTAATCATAATTCTAATGTCTTAAAAATCTTGCCAGCATCTGTCGGGATCACCGGGTAAGTAATAGTGAGGTTAGATGCAGGGTATTAGGGAATGACGATGAGAAACCAGCTGATGAGATTGTAAATCTCCATCGACTGAGATGGTTGCGCCACCTATTACTTATACCTGAACACCGATTACCAAGACGCGCAATGCTGACTAGTGGTCTTAGCCATGTTGGTAGATGCAGACTACTTGGTTGAGGTCTGCGTGACTATCGTAACCAATGGTTGGAGACTTGGTGACATGGCTCAGAATCGATCACAATGGCGTAGGTGTATACACTCGCTGTCTTCCCTTAAATCATGAGATGAAAATCGCTTCATATCTTTCTTTCTACGAACTAATTCTTTCTTCCTGTATTATATCCTCATTGCAATCTTTCTTTTATATATTACTACCACTGAATTAACTACTTCTATGAATCCGGTGTCCATCTTGCTGTGCTAATGTGGTATGGCAATTTGGACTAATGCATATATGTGCCTGGTCCTACGTTGTAACTGACTGACTGACTGATTGACTGACACTGGTTAATAATCATCATTAAGTCCTAGTGAATAGATGAACACTCTGACGGTCACTTTTGCATCACTCAAAGATCATCCATGAATTATCAAGTTTAAAACTTGTATAAATGAATAAAACTATCCAACTAAATAGTTATTATTACATTTCCTTTTTTGTAAAATTACATTATTATATCATAAATTATTAATTTAAATGAAGTTAAACTATTTCATATGTTTCAATGGTTAAAATCATGAATCAGTTGAGGCAAGATCACCATGGAAAACCTGGAAGCACTGGACGACCGTTTCGTCCTATTGTGGGACTTCTCAGCAGCGCGTATCCATGACCTCGCTCCCTGCAAGACTCGAACCCAGGACCTACTGGTTTCGCGCGCGAGCACTTAACCACTAGACCACTGAACTGACCGGCATCCAACGGTGTTAATGTCTAACTTCAACTAATCCAGGTTTTCCATAGTGGTCTAGCTTCAACTGATCCATGATCTTAACCATTGAAATTACTATAATATCCACAAAATCCATCTGATATTTCATATGTATCATAATTGATATGATGGAAAGAAAAATCGGAATTCAATTAATTTATTCATTATGAGTTTTTGGTTCAGCATTACTTCTGTTTTTGATTCAATGTAATGATTATTCAGTGTAATATTCAGTTATGCTTTCCCTTATGACTTTTTTATCCGGTATAACATCAGATATTCTTGTATTCAATGGATATCAACTATGCTCAGCATATGATTTATTATAACCCTAAGTATCTATTATCTATGTGATTTCATCCTAATGATTAATCTAAGTGTGTGTACAATCAAAAAATTGAGTGTATTTTCTACTAGAGTCGTCGCCATTGTCATCGTCATCGTTGTCGTCATCGTGTTTTGGGGGTTAACAAATCATCACTTATACCAGTCTTTGTGTTCTTACTTTTTGCGTCGTGAGAATTGCAATGGTTCCTCATTTTCACAAGTATAAATAATGATCATTTTCTGACACAACCAACAATTAGCAAAAATCTAGATATAAAACAAGTAACATTCAAACACAAAATATATCAATATAATAACTAACCAGAAGAAGAAGAAGAATGACATGTACCATAACCAAATGGAACACCACATAACCAATTACCAGTAGCAGATTTAAGATAATCCCTATGACTATCACCACCATCATCATTAAGTGATATTAATGGACGATCAATATCATGATCATAAACTAATTGATTATGTAATAGTACTTGTGATTTCATTAAAACATTCGATATAAGATGTTGACATGAATTAAATGGTATAGAACAATCAATACCAGTAAAATTTTTATAACATAAACAATATGGCCATAATGAGATATCAACATCAGAGATTAAGGTTAATTCATTATTATTATGATTATTAGCACTATTATTATTGTGATTAGATTGAATTAAACGTAAACGTTGATAACATTTTTTTGTACCATATTGACAAAATGGATACATTTCATGAGTACATTCAATAAACCATGTTGCCATGGATACATTTTTGTATTGACTTTTTATAATTTCTGGTATTAATAAACAACCAGTTAATGAATTGATAGTTTGCCAATGATATGCATTTGATTTACATTGACACCTTTTATAAATATATAATAATAGTAATTCATTTCAAATGAAAAGATTACATTGAATATGATAAGAATAATAAAGTTTGAAGAATAAAATGAATTCATGATTTCTAATCCGGCTACAAATATACTTACTTACTTACTTAGTGTTCGCGCGGCTTCCGAGAACTGCGACGGAGCCTTCAGAAGCTTTAAAAGGGCGAGACTATAATTTATGGACGACCTTTGAGTGACGCTAAACTGACCTTGAAAGTGTCCACTTAATAGGTAGAACAAAAATGAGAGTTATAAACCTGTGTGGGGAATTATAATTATAGTTTACAGTTGATGGTTAAGGTTAGAAATTGGATTAGATACCGAAATTCTATTTAACCAAATGGATGAGCAGATTTTGCGTTGAAATCTGAGACTTGTTATCTTATATCTGACTAGTTTGCTGGTAAATTATAATCTCACCCCTTAAAGAGCCGAAGAGTTCCATACAATCAGAACGTAAGGAAGCTTTTTAGAATGTCAACGTTGGTATGCTACTATCGCTCAGTGGTATAAAATGCCTTTTGGGGATTGGCTGAATTATAATGCTAATATAACAAACGTTAAATATCTATAAATACCCATGATCTTCTGTACATTTTGATTCCTACCCAACAAAAAATTTCTTCAGTCTTATTCTGTATTCTTATTCGTGACTTGGAGGGTTCTAGAGTTCGAGTGCTCAAGTTATACGCGGTATATTAAGAATCTAAAGATTTAGATATAACACTTACGCCGGTTACCCCCTCGTCAGAGAGCATAGGCCGCTCATCAACCTTCTCCATCCAACTCTGTCCTGAACAATCCTTTCCAGTTGTTATTAATGCTTTTCATATCTACTTCTATTTCCCAATGTAATATGTTCATTAGCCTTCCTATTTTCCTCTTCCTTTCAGGATCACAAGTTAGGGCTTGTCTCGTGATTCAGTTTGGTGACTTCCACAATGTATGTCCTATCTTCTTCCAACATTATTTCCTAATTTCCTCATCAGCTGGAAGCTGATTTGTTCTATCCAACAGTAGGCTGTTGCTTATGATATCCGTTCAACGGACTTTGGGTATCTTGCGTTGACAACTATTTATAAATACTTGTACCTTCTTGGTAATAGTTGTAGTGGTTCTCCAAGTTTCAGCTCTGTACAGTAGAACAATCCTGACATTGATATTGAGAATTTTAACCTTGATGTTGATTGACAGTTGTTTTGCGTTCCATATGTTCTTCAATTGTAGGATAGCAGTTCTTTGCTTTGACTGCAAACATGTTGATATGTCTTTAATTCATAAGTTATACATATTGATCTTAACTATGTTTATTCATACACCTTGTATCCCTATTCTTCCCATTATCATGATTTTGGCTACTGTTCAAACATTTATCTTAACTTCACAACGTAAAGTATCCTAAACATTTGTTAATAATTATGTTTAATATCAGAAGGGGTTTTGTGGAGATTGTAGTAATTTCAATAGTTAATATCATGAGTCAATTGAAGATAGACCACCATGGAAAACCTGGAAGCACTGGACAGCCGTTTCGCCCTACTGTGGGACTCCTCAGCAGTGAGCATCCAGGACTCCGCCTCGAGAGACTCGAACCCAGGACTTATTGGTCTCGCACGTGAACGCTTAATCTCTAGACCGTTGAGCCGATATCCAATGGTGTTAATGTCCAACTTCAACTAATCCACGGAGTTGAGCGACGGCCGTTTCGTCCAGAGCTTCCAAGTTTTCCTTGGTGGTCTAGTTTCAATCGACTCATGATTTCAATCTATGAAATTTCTAAAATCTACACAAATCTTTTCTGATAATAATCATCTGCTCACTAGTGACTGACTTCAAGAGACACAACTGGAGTTCTAGTGAAAAGTCATTACCAGTGGAATTCAACCAGGTCTGTTGTGAAATATCAGCTCATTGATGACAATGGTGTACGGTGGCTCAACTTCGTGGATTGGTTGAAGTTAGACATTAACACCATTGGATGCCGGCCGGCTCAGTGGTCTAGTTGGTTAAGCGCCTGGCGCGAGACTGATAGGTCCTGTGTTCGAATCTCAGGGGGTGTGGGATCGTGGATGCGCACTGCTGAGGAGTTCCATACTAGGACGAAACGGATTTCCAGTGCTTCCAGGTCTCCCATGGTGGTCTAGCTTCAAGTAACTCACGATTTCAATTTGTTTAAATTTATCAAGAGATCTAGTTATAGGAAAAGGATTAAACTTAAACATTTTAAATGAAATAGATTTTGATTCATGCTACTACATAGTTTGAACAAATTTTATTGGACAGTTTATCCCATCAATTGACCAATCAACGTAAAGTATTACTATGCTAGTTTTTGATTGGTTAAAGATGTAAATGTAGTTGTTTTTATAGTTGAGGACATGATTCACTTAAAGTTAGACCACCAATGGGATGTCTGGAAGCATTAGGCAGCTGTCTCATCGTTGTAGTTATACTGTTTCTCTTCTTTCTTCTTTTCAAAGGAAAGAATGGTAATTTGTGGTATCAGGACGGGTATTGTCGTCTGATGTTTCTGTGAAGTGATGAGATTTACAGTAATCGAGTATGTTTACATGACAGCTGTCTAGCAATATATTACGATCTTTAACTGAATGTCAATATCTTTCACTGGTTGGTTCGATGTTCATTGACCATTGAACATACAATTACATTAGTTGTTTAATCAATATGTTATAATCATAAAATATCCTAGATGTGTTTAACTTATGAGGTCTGATAGAATTAAGTTCCTAGGAAAACCTGAAAGACCTAAGTTAAATAACTAGCAGGGTTCTTAGTACATAATCATTGAAAGTTGTATGTAAGACTTGAATAATTGTTCAATACTTCATATTCTCATATTGATAATCTTTGAAACTTACGAGAACTCATTTACATAGACACCATTTCCATGCACTAAACATGAACCAGATATTGTATGAAGTAATTGTGAACAAACATCAAATGGATTAACAATATGAATTGATTTAAAAGTTAAATTGATAATTTGTTGAATAAAATCATTTTTTATTATATCTACACGTGGACGACAAATTTTTGGACATATTCCATCAATATCATTTTTAGGTTTTGGTCCTAAATTTGTACATATAACCCAATTATACATCCATAGAACATATTCATAATTTGGTATATAATCTTTACAGGCTAAAAATAAATAATATACAAGAGAAAAAAACAAAACAGAAATAAAGTTAACACATTCCAGAACCGTTGAAAACACATATTGGAACAACTTATATTACCTTAAAATGAGGTTTCATTTATGTCCATAAAATGGAAATGATCATCTAATAAGCTCACAACATCTTCTTCTCAATCATATTCTGATTCGTCGAATAGGCTGACCTTAAGTGAACCAATTAGGAGTAAGGAAACTATTAGGTTGATTGTAGGGATACAGACATACACACACAATGTATGGCGAGACTCTAATTTGTGGACGAGCCAATCAGGAGCGTCTGAGAGATTTCAAGGTCATGGCGCCAACTTCAGTGCTTAGTGCTAACGTACGATCGGTTCAAAGGGAATTTTGTACAAAACGTGATAATTGAGCGGCTATAACAAATAAAACGGCGAGACTATAATATGTGAACGAGTCAATCAGGTATAAGATAATAGATCTCGAATCTTAACGCGCTAAATAAATTTCTGGCATTATAGCTGATGTCAGTTTGTGATGAAAACCCAATATATAATTCCTAACCAAGGCAAATTATGACAATTATTGCGAATTGGATAATAAAACCACCAGTAAAACTGGCTGCAGTCAGGTACTACGATATATAAGGATGGTTGGTGAGCGTACACACTCCTACATAGGCTTGGTTATGTGCATCGTGTCGTTATCCACAAGTGTTATTTTGTGTACTCAACAACTGGAGTGCACATAAACAATATTGAAGCTATGTGGTCGAGGCTGAGTTTTTGTGACTTTATCATGGTTCCAGAGACCAACTATTCTGTCGCCGTAGGGATGATTTCCTTTACTGCATCCATTAGGATTTTAGAACCTCTGAACCTCTTTCTAACTTTGACAAGTTTTTGAACCACGTTTAAGAAGTGTATCCACTTTATTTCCATGGTTTTGTATAACATATTTTTACTCAATACTGACTGTCTACTGATTGTCTAATATTTCTCAAGGTCGCTTAAGATTCGTTCAAATGTCGTCCATAAATTAGAGTCCCACCGGTGTTATATTAAAATTGTTAGGATTATAATATTGGCTTGGGGATGAAATGAAGTCTCCAGTAAACATTCTGCTCTTGTATCTAGGATTCACTCATTAAATGAATAAAAATGCTCGATATTACACAAATATTGAACATTGAGAAGCGGATGAACTAAACGATCACAGATATGTACCCTATCCTCGTTTGGCTGTATCTGGGAGAATGTTAAATCTACTTAAATAAGTTAATCAAATATCAAAAAGTTAATTCCTTTGTACTGGTTATTTGAATCTTCCTATAGATGTTTAGAACTGAAATTAGTCTCTCTTTCCGCATTTGTGGGTCCTGTGAAAATTGCTTAAATATCACCATTAGTTCATAAGTATTTTAATGAGATTTGGATGGTGGTTGACAGTGGAATCTAGGATGCTAGTTTTATCCTATATCGGATTCATAATTTGGATTTATCTGAATCCCATAGTTGATGTTCAAGCAACCAAAACAATTAATTAAAACTCACTTTTTAGCATCAATCAGTAGTTATCTGAACTCAGTAGCTCAGTAGATAACGTTTGGCTTTTAAAGCAAAACGTAGTAGGTCCGATTCTCGGAGTGAAAACCAACTCTGAAATGCAGGTGAATCCATATGACAAGTCCCAAATAAAATGGAACTCAAGACCTGTATTCCACTTCTGGCTGTCATCTAACTCTACTTAAAATCGAACAATTAACCCAAAGCATACAAACGAACAAGTGAGAGACGCGAAAAGTCATGGAACAAATATCAGAATATGATTTGGAATTAGTGTTAAGAGTTAGGACTAGATGTTACGGCTAGTGTTTCCATCATGAACTAATACTGGTAATAATATGTAGATCATTAGATCATATTCGAATTCGAATTCCCAGTACAACAAATCATTCATTTATCATCTCTGTCTCCTGACTAGCAAAAACGTTTAAGAAGTCAGAGTTTCAGTTATTTACACAAGGTTTGCCCATCAATCATGTTTAAGTCGGGTTACGTGACTTTGACACCGAACAACTCTCAAATATGATTAGTCTTACGAAAAAATATCTATTTTCTCTAGTCGTTTATTAGATAAAGATATTGGGACCCGAGAAACATAATGAATGGTGACTTTTGGGATTCTGTTTTATGGATCAATACTGTACGTATACTTTTATTGTATAATTATTAAATAACTAAATTATTCATATTCATGTTCCTCTTATTATAAGCCTTATTTTAACCCATTTATTATTATTATACGTTTTACCATTGTTGAGTTATACCCAGTATATTAATTACTACCTCCCTCATTCACAGCCACATCTAGCTAATTCTTGTACAAATGTTGTTTCCTCTTTTATTGGTACGTTGTGCTCTGTTTGATTGGTATATAAACTCAGTATGTTTGAAATATAAGTATTTATATCGCAGAGGCTCGGGTTTGTGTTCTGGACTTAGCTAGCTGGGCTAGGTGGAAAGTAGGGCCAATTAGAACTCTAGGCTACTCATACGGGTTTACGCGTCATTGTTCCGATCGATAAGTCACTGCTCTCTAATCGGCGGTCACAAGTTATAACAACAGACTAATACAGTTTCAGGGTGAATTATGGTTACACGTTAGATATCTTACAGTAGGTTATTTTAGACAATGTTATTCATGATTGGTAGTCTTATTTGTTCGTAACACTTATTGATGATAATTACACATTTCTACTTTAATCACACTAACTGAACTTTGTAGTTGGTTACCACATAATTATGGATTGTTTATTAGAGACAAGGAGAATGAATCATCTATAATTTGCCAATTCATTGTTTCAGTATTACATCAATTCTTTCAGAGAATATGGGGATAGTTTTCAGGAAAGTAGCTTAAAAGGCCACCGATTATAGGACAGTGACTTATCGATCGGACCAAGGGATTCAGAATCTCGATAGGCTATTCTGGTCCGTTGTACCCGACTCAGCTAACGCGATCAAGAAGTCTGGGTGAGGCGTAGAAAGTGTATTCTACAGGCAACCAGCAGATACCAAGTCAGGTCAAGCACACAAGCCAAGCGTATTTATACAAATATTTATAATCGATATTGTCATAGTAAAATGTTTTTAAACATTATTCAATAAGTTCATCAATCGACAGGCATTCAAATATTTAATCGATAAGTTCATCGATAAGATGAAATTACAAAATATGAGTTTTGGGGATCTGTCGTCCTCAACAAAAAGCTCGTTATGTTTGTGGTTTAATACTAATATTCTGTTGTCCTTATCCAAGACAGAGTTGGTTGGAGAACGCTGGTGGGTGGCTTATGCTCCTCTATGAGGAGTAACACGCGTATGTAAGTTAGTTCTATTATCCTTATATAGTATGGTAATGTGAGTAAACATTTGAATTATGAACACACAAATATCTGATGTATTAATGACAGGATAAATCATCATTGAAAATAGTGTATCTTATGCCATTAGTACCTCATTAGCCAGATTACATTTATAGTAACCAAATCTTTGTTTGGCATTAATGTCTATGGTCTGGTGTATGATGAAATTTCAGCATGCATACAGAAGGTTCTATTGGCTTTTGCCAACTTGCGTCATTTATGGTGTAAGCGAGATATCCGTCTACCAACCACAGGACGGGTTTACTGCACAGCAGTTCGTTCCATCCTACTTTATAGCTGTAAAACATGGCCGGTAAGGACATTCGTAGGTCACTAGCATTTGATCATAGGTGTCTTCAATGCATTGCTCGTATATCCTAGGACCACCGAGTAAGTAACGCAGTTGTTAGGAAACGGGTACTACGCAAGGATGGCAAATCAATTGATGAAGTAGTAAAACTTCATCAGCTGAGGTGGCTGGGACATATGTTGCGAATGCCTCAACGTGCGATGTTTTATGGTGTAGGAGTAGGTTGGAAGAAAGCTAGGGGCAGACAGACCAAAACATGACAGAAATCCATGAAGTCACTGACAGGTGAACTGAGTCATGATGGTAGGTGTAGACTACCTGGTTGGGGAGCATTGCTTACTGCCTATGTATATATTCATTCTGTTAGCCTTACTAGTAGTCGCTTAATTGATTCGATGATTCATTCATTACCCTATTTATATATACATGTACATTTTAATCCTGTTCATAGATTCACTGACTGGCTCATTCGACTCACACATTCACTCACTTTCCCGCTAGCTTTTCGGCACTACTCTTTCATGCTTGTTTAACGTGGTTGTAAATTTGGGTTATCTGTGTGTAGTACAATATTAAAACTAATCAACACTTCGTATCCGTCTTCTAGTTGATACACCATTGAGGTTTTATCTAATGACGGTTATCAGGACGAACTGTATACGAAGTTTACGGATCCTATTGAATACCGACCACCACAAAGTATTTCATCTATATCTAACCTTATAATGATTACAGGTGAAAGAAAATTACATCATTTATACCCACAACTAAACAAGCAACCTATTCAAATTTGTATTTGATAACTTACTTTTTCCACATTGTACTTTAATAGATTTAAATATTCTATAAATATCAATAAATAAAGGAAGAAACATTCTTGGTTGAAGTCGTTCACCTAAAATAACATTCGTTATTCTATTTTTCTGATCGTCTTCATCATCCTCATCCTCATCATCATGTGTATACACCATTGTATTTGTCATTTTCTCAGTATTTATTTGAATATTATCATAATTGTTCATCATTGAAGGTTTAATATTCATAGAATTCATCATGTTATCATTATTACTACTACTTATACTACTCTTATCATTGTTATCAGTAATATCATCATATGTAAATGTTTCATTAGCAAATTTTGATAATAAATTAGAATATAAATCAAATAATGTGAAATTTTCCGTTAAAATATATTTTCTTGTTAAATTATGAGTTGATTCCTTGTGATAGAAAGAAGAAGAAGAAGAAGAAGGATAAGTGAAATGAGATGTGTAGCTAGAGTTTTGTTCTTTGAATTGGATGATTTGATCGTGGAGCTTTCATTGTTCTTCTGAATAACATGATCAGTACAAACTTCAAGTAGAAGTGAAGTGTTCGAATTTCTCCACACATGTGGTTCGCAGCTTGTCTTGTGGATCTCGATGATGACTGTGGTTGTTGTTGACCTTAAATCTGTCATTGTTTATTTCTTTGTTTTGGTTGTATCTCCAATTGGTTTGATTCTTGGTTTCTATATTTGTCCTTAATTTTCTTGATTGATTGGTAAATTGGAATGATTTTAATCAACATCAAGGTGTATAGGACAAGTTGCGAACCATATGTGTAGAGAAATTCGAACACTTCACTTCTATCTGAAGGACGATGAAAGCTACTGGACCAAACCATCCAGATCAGAGGACAAACCTCCATCATTAAGATGCAGTATACATGTGTTGGTAAATCATAATATATGATCTGGCATAAATACGCATTGATCTAGGAAAACAGACAAGATCTAAAATTAACAGATCAAATCAATAAAACGGGTGATTTTCAATTATATTTATCATTATACGTCTACTACTCTTACTCAACTTGACTTTGATGAGATCTGTCATAACTTGATTACTCCTACTGAACAGTGAATACCGTAATCCAGTCATACGTCAGCCATAATCAACATATAGCTTATCGTATTTGTAACCAACTCGATGTTTCTAACTACTTGTTGTGATAATCATGCAGACTTCAACCAAGTAGTTTGCACATAACCACATGGTTAAGAACAACAGTGAATAATTTCACGGAATTAGGTGGCGTCTTGGTTTGTTCCACACCAGATTCTTGTCAACTTACTCCAACAACAGATAACTATAGCCTTCGAGGCAGTCGTTGGATCAATTTACGTAATACAAATCGTAACCGCTTCAGCCAACAAGCATTCAATATCTTATTCAACAGATTTACCATCTTTATCTGATACCCTGATTTTAATTTGGACATTTTTCACTTGATTGTCTCAATATACTTGAGCAATACTACAACCGAATCAATGATCAAATACTATCAATCTATGAATATCTTCCAATCCATATTTCACAGTCATATACGGATAAATCGTCTACACCGTTTATGATGTAAGTTGTCGAAAGCCAACTAAAATTTTCAAGACGAAATTATACAATTGTCGATTACTCCTAGGTTTACATTGTTTATTTTAACTAACAGTGTAAGTGTTTTCCTACATTGAGACTGAATAACAAATTACTAACTTTGGGATATGTAATTCACTTGGTATTGTTTACTTGCGCATCCAGCTGATGGGTCCTAAACAGAACGAAACACGCGTCCTGGATTCCACTACTAGCCACTAGCCATCTTTACTTATAAAGCTTGTGAATTAAGGCTATATCGAGACAATCCTCACAGGATGCACATATGCCAACAAGAGACTGATTAATTGAAGTCCTAAAAAACAGTGGATAGGTACAAGTAAACAACATAAAGTCTATTAAACTTCACCCTATTGCACAAGCAAGTGGCTATCAGGACTATGTAGCCAAGTGAATAACGCGTTGGCGTTTGAAGTGAACAATACTGAGTTCGAGTCCTAGAGTCAATATTAACTCTGTGATGCAAATACATTGAGCTGAGGAGTTCCAAATGGGATGAAACGCGAGACCTGGATTTCACTGCTTGCCACCATTATCCATCTTTGCTTATTGAGACTTGTAATTTATTTAATCGAATTCAGTATATATCGAAAATGAAAATTAGTTAAATGAAAAAAACAGTTGTACACTACTTCGTAAGTTTAAATTCAACTCCTAATTAACATCAATTCATAACTTTTTTAAAAAAATCTCAATTCATTTGATAGAATAAATAAGGTCCTGGGTTCGAGTCCCTTTGATGCAGGATCTTGGATACACATTGTTGAAGAGTTCAATACTAGGACAAAACAATCATCTATTGATAATCTAGCTTTAATCAGTTAATAAATTCAACTCGAAATGCGTACTTACTTACACCTATTACTCCCAATGGAGCATAAGCCGCCCACCAACATTCTCCAACCCACTCTGTCCTAACCTTCATTTCTTTTGATGATAAATATTTCATTTTCTATAAATGTAATATAAAATTAACTTCGCCTGGAGCCCCTCTGAGGCTAATGCCGGTCCCAAGCCCGGATAAAGGACGAGGGTTAGATATGAAGTTAGCGGCCCCCTCCCGTAGAATACTAACTCGCTGGAAAAAAAACTCTAACCAGAAAAAATAATTCAGACCATTTAAACTCTGCCCTAGGAGTTAGGTTTTCATTTAGGAGGATTATGACGTCTCATGATGAAAGCCCAGTTCTTTCGGAATTCACGAAGTTGATGCTCCTTCTAACAATCAGAGCAACTATTAATTTCGGTAAATGGAATGCTGGTACAATGTCGGCGACCAGGAGAGTTTTTCGAATTGCTCCAGAAATGAAGAGATAAAACCTGGAGGTGCTTAGAATCAATGAAACACATTGTACTCAGGTTGGACAACAACGACTAGTTTTATGGGAGCTTCTTTTTAGACTCCAGTCATAAATTAACAAGATCCTGGGTTCAAATCCCTTTGATGAGAGATCATAGATACACACTACTGAAGAATCCTATACTAGGACCAGACAGCCGCCCAGTACTTCTAGGTTTTCTAAAAGTTATGATACATCATGATGAAAGTTGAGTTCTTTCAGAAGTCATAAAGTTGATGCCTTTTTTTTAATCACCATAGCAACTATCCATTTAGGTAATTACTTACTTTAATAATCAATATATCATTTTTTATAAATTTCATATTAATTCTAGATGATAATGATGGATAAAATGGATTAGGGAAACCATATTGTGAAAAATAATAATATGGTTTAGATAATTTCCATAATGGTTTATAAAATGGTCCATTATATGGATAAAATAATAATGAATGATTATATGGTAACATATATAAATCATTGTTTCTAAGTGATAATAAAATATCGATTAAATTATTCATTGTTATATTGATTGGATTTAATTGTATCAAATCAATAAATAAGAATAAAATGATCAATGATGACATAATCATTTTGGGATAATGAATAAATAATGTCAGATACGAGTAATAGGCCTAAGTAAGTAAATAAGTAAATAAGTAATATATATATATATGATGCGTGAAAGAAGATGGAATTCAATTTGATTGATTGGGTTAATTGATTGATTGATTGATTTTTCAATGATTAATCGATATATTATTTATTTATTTATTTGAATACATAAATATTGGTAGAAGGAGGCATCAAATAGATATATGCCATATAAATCATTCGATTTAATATAAGGGCTGGGATATTGTGTGAGTGCCCAAATTGAAGCAGGTGATTTTTTTAGAGGACCGCACCCGAATTCTTTGATATAAAGGTCTAATCCACAAGGTAGTGGAGTAACGTAAAAAGATGCAGTCTCAACAATTGATTGATACGCCATTTGTTCTATCAGGATCCTGAAGCCCATGTGTACCACTGGTTTAGAATCAGGTTTTTCCAACTCCATTAGGTGGAATGTCCGTGCCCACCAACCCGGACATTTGCTTTTCGTCCTCTCAATTTCGTAGACACCCCCTTTTTGAGAAGGCAGTGAGTAGGACATCCCTGTCAGTGGTTGTATGCATGTGGCCACTTGAGAGCATTTCGAGAAAGAGGGAGCTGACTCTCCCCACTCTCGGCCGTGCCAGGGCATTCGGGGGCATGATAATGGAAATCTTTAAAATATTACTGATTGGTTGTTTGCTTAGTCAGACATGTAGATAGTTTCATAGATGTTAAATGAGTTATATATTCCCCTATCCTTATTATTAATTATTATTGATTGATTGTTCATTGATGTTGGATTGTGGACACTGGGAAGGAATCTAATGTGGATATTCGTCCAAGATAAATTAATGTTCCATTTGTGTAGACGAGATGAAACCAAGAATTATAACAACCTACAACATCTAACATGTAATTTACTTAGACACTGTGTTTGGGTATTCACTCATATATGTAACGGGGTATGAATTCTAAGTTTGATTTGCAACACTGTATTATTTTTGTTATTAGTATTTTAACTGGTCGGTGGCCTATGCTCCATTGGGAGTAACAGGCGTAAGTAAGTATTTTAACTGAGGATTATCTCGATATCTCAGAGTAGACATCAGCTTGGAGATGAAGGTATATTCAGCTGACGAGTCTCAAATAGGAGAGAATGCATATCCTAGATTCTATTGCTAATTAGATTCTAGCTATTTTACATGAACTTGTGTTACAATGAGTATACTGGAGCATTCCACACAGTATGCACATATGTCAACCAATTCAGTCAAATTATCAATTATAAGATAGTTCAAAGCGTTGCAAATTCAATATACAGTTGAGACAGATTACTAAAGTCAAACGAAGCTGCAGTTTATACATAAAGAGTAGTACCTGAAATCACAAAAATGAAAATACAAGATTAGTCTACAATACTTACTTATGTCTATTATCTTCAGTGAAAGAGCACAGGCTGCCCATCTGCATTCTCTGAACAATTCCGTCCTGGGAAATCCTTTACAGTTGTTTCTAGTTGTTATTGGTTCTTTTGATGCCTGCTTTCAATTCCCGACAAAATGTTCTATTTAATCTTCCATTTTTTATTTTCCTTTTGAGATTACATGTTGGCACTTGCCTCATGCTACGCTCTGATGATTTGCTTCAGTGTAGTCAGCTTGTGCCTTGATTTTCTCTGCTCTTATTTGGCTGTTGTTGATTGCGGTCTTCTTCTTCCTTTTTTGAATTTTTTCCAGGGTTTCGATAAAGATCCATTCCTTATGATGATGCTTCTTGCAGCACAGAACCTCCTAGCACGCCCAAGCTAGTGCTTCTTTGATCTTTTTTCAGTTGTCCTCCATAGTAGTTTATTCTTAAAGTAAATCTTATAATGCTTGAAACTGTTATCACTTGTGCCCTGTGTCCTATCAGTGTATAACGTAGTGATACCACCAATTAGAGAAAAGCGATTTATCGACCGAACCAATGACGCATAAAACCCGTACGAGCATTCTAGAGTCCTTATCAGTCCTGCTTTCTGACTAGTTCTGCCTGCCCGTTGAGTCCAGAACACCAATCTCAGCCTCCGAAATATGAATCATGTATTTCAAATATACTGGGTTTATATACAAACCAAACAGACCATATCGTACCATAAAATAGAAAACAACATTAATACAAGATTTAACCAAATGTGGCTGTGAATGTGGGAGACTGTAATGAATAGACTGGGCATAACTCAAGAATGGTAAGTCGTATAATTCTAGAGACTAAACCTCCATGTTTGTATGAATACTCTCACAAACTGGATTCAGTGATGATAACTTGTTTAAAAGGTATCAGTACTAACTCATACATGTATAAAGAGATTCTGAGGAAGGAAAATTGAAATCTTTCCACAAATGATTGTATCGAATCAACTGAAAGCATCTATGCTAATAATTTAGTCCGTTAGTTCTAGATAATTGACTCGATTATCCATTATTCCGATTATTATCATCATAGTTCATATTGTGACAAATTAATTTTAAATAATATAATCTATAAAATCAAATGACATAACCTTGGATAACTTTCATAGAAATCATCTTGTTTTAATGTATAGTCAGTTAATTAGGTTACTAGATGTTAGGTGTTCGTGCGAGAGACTCATAGGTCCTGGGTTTGAATCTCATGAGTCGGGTTTGTGGATACGCACTGTCACTGAGGAGTTCCAGAATAGGACGAAACAGCCGTGCAGTGCTTCCAGGTTTTCCATGGTGGTCTAGCTTCAATTGACTCGTGAATTCAACTATAAAATCACATTCATTATTATAGTACTTTTCTAGGTCACTTGATATGGATTGTTTATAGGGTTGATGAAGAACGGATACTACTACTATCAATTTTTCTAATATTTAGTAATCTGAATTAATCGACAGAAAGTTCTGTCTAAACTAAGATCTCGTGGTGTTTGTAGTTACTTTTTAGCAAATGCAATTCAGTTAACAACTCCTTGAACATTTAGTATTATGGGAATCATCTTTCAGGGTTATCTGCATTGTGTCATGTTATAGATTTATGTAAGTACTTAAAACTGTTGACTAACAACTAGGAATCACGGTATGTTCAATTTTCAAAAAAAGTTGATAATGAATTAATAAACAGAATACACCCATTATGATATTAAATAAGAAAGAAAGATTAGTTCAGAGAAGAGTTCTATTTTCGGAGAATTCATTTTCAAAGCTGTACAATCGCAAATATATATACTTATTTTTACAGGATGATAATAATACTGATAATAAATTTCTGTTATACATGATGACAGTGGGTGTCGAGTCACCTAGACTGGTGGCCACATTGCAACATGATCGATAGCATTCGATCTGCACTAATAAGGACTAGACAAGCATGAAATTGATCACCACCCAGTGATCAATCAATTGTGATTACATCTCAGTCCTATAGGAGGTCAATCGCGGCTCGGATAGCTCAGTGGTAACGTCTCTGACTGTGAAGCTGGGTGACACGAGATTGAATCCGCCAGGGAGCACCAGTTCCCTCAAGATTACAGGTACACCTTGCTGATGAGTGCCAAGTAGCACGAAACCCGGGTCCAGGATTTCCTGTTGACTACCTCCAACCACCATCTAGAGATGAAATGTAATCGGAATGATCGTGGAAATAAAAACAAACCGGGTTGGGGGTGGAAGATTTGAAGGGAAGATGGAAGGTGAAGCAGGTGGCTGTAAGGGAACAAGAGTATGAAGAAAGAGAAAAACGTTTTTTAATACATTAAGACCATGATAGAAAAAGAGGTTGTACCAGTCTCTTTTGTACACATAATTCTGGTTTTTCAAAATGTATGGCTATTGCCTCGGCAATGCAAAGAAGATGCAGTCTTATTGTCTTAGGAAGGCTTCTACTTACCTTGTAGATGACTTTGAACGCAAAGTCTGTCTTGATTGAGTGACTTGTGTTCACAAGGTGTTCGATTATAGAACTTCTTCTTGAGCCGTTGCCTCCTCTTTTTAGCCACGCCGAACAATGTTCTTGAATTCTTTTGGAGAAAATACGCATCGAACGACCTGTATACCTAGCTCCACAAGAGCAGGTAAATTGGTAAATGCACATTGAGTTGGTCAGATGAGATAATTTATCTTTCAGATTATTGGTGAACAGTGATCGGCTGAAGAATAATATTCGCAATGTTGCTGCGAAGAATGTTCTTTTTAAAGAATCCGAAATTCTCCTCTTTAAGATATATGCGGCTCTATCACCTTTGAACTCGATGTTCATGTATAAAATTTTCTTTTCTACTGTAATTATTTGTGTTTTTGACTTCATATTCTTATCAATGAATATCAAAGGATAGCCGTTTTTGATAAGAATCTCTTTTAAAAGGCTCAATTCTTCCTCTACGACCTCGGGGCTACAGATTCTTCGTATTCTTGTGGCGAGAGTTATTATTAAGTTCCTTTTTCGGCTGATGGGAACCCAACTGTGGAAATGTGATAGTTGGTCATTCCACATGGGTTTCCTGTAGATAGATCTTTTTAAAGTACCATCTTGTTTTCTTGTCATATCTACATCAAGGAAGTGAATATTTTGTTTGCTTTCAACTTCAAGTGTGAATTTTATTGATGGGTGACAATTATTAAATGTATTTGGGAGATCACTTCAGTTACATTTGTTGTCGAAAATGATAAAGATATCATTCACATACCTTTTATACAAGTGGAGGTTTTCTATAATTCTTTTAAGTTGGTTGTTTTCTAAACTGGCCATGAAGCAATCTACCAGTAATGGAACAAGTGGGGATCCCATTGCTATTCCATCCTTCTGTCTATGAATTACATCATTAAATGTGAACTGTACATTGCAAGTGCAACGTAGTAATAGTTCCTTCAAATAAACCTCAGGTATCCTAATGTTTATCTCATTATTGTTTATGTACTTGCAGATAAAAATTAATGGTCTCTGAGAGGGGAACATTAGTAAATAATGATTCCACATCCAGAGATAGCAT